CTGTCTCTCAAAAAGAAATAAAACATTAAAAAAATTAAAAAGAAAAAAAAGCCTCTGAACTTACGAACTTTCAACAATCAAGGAGAATCAGATCCCCCTTAAACCCTCTCTATCTCCCCTGCCCCAGTGTCCCTCCCATAACGACTTACTGGTGATCATTCTCTGTGTGTCCTGCTAGGCACTCTGCTACGCCTGCACATGCAGGCACACACGCCTAGTGATGCAATGTGTGTGTGCGTGTGTGTCCACGTGAACACACGTGTGCCTTATACATGTGCACATGAGTGTGTCTGTGCACATGCGTGTGAGAGATGGGGATGCATGCTGCACGTTCAGTAACTTGCTATTTTCACTTAACCCGATGGAGACCTTCCCCTGTCAGCACTTCTGCCCTATCTCCTGGTGCGACTCGTGCAGGAACTTGGCCAGGCCAGGTGTGCAGGAGCACACTCCAGCAGCCCCAGAGCCTGGCACCCTGCACTGACCTGGACACTAAACTCCCACAATGAAAGTTCATCCCTTACCTTTTGCATTTTCATTTTCTTACCTCTGTAATGACCCTAACGCTCCTTCTAGCTGTGAAGTCCTAGCTTAGAAACAGTTTTATGATGAAAGAATCAAGAGATACTTAGAAAAATTATGTCAGAAGGGATCTAAAATATTTTTCTATTTATTCTTAGAAAAAAAAAAAAGAATGACCACAATCATAATGTACTGTTGGGTTAACAAGGATAAATAATACAGTACAGTCGCAGGTGTCTGAAAGTGACTTTACAACCTAGGAATCAGTGACACCTCATGGTACGTGATGGCGAACAGCTGCTCCCAGAAGCAGGTAGACTCAGAGGACCGAGGTGTGAGCCTGGAGCCCCACTCACTGCCTGGGTGGACTTTGTCCCGGCCAGTCCCTGCCTCCATGTGCTCATCCGTGTGATGGGACCATCTCCCATGGTTGTGACAACAGAATGAAGTCACGTGTGTGAGAGTGTGTGTAAAGTGTGATAAGATCTACACACGTTGGCCATTATTACTCTACAGGCCGTGTTTGACATGATATGTTCGCTGAGGAGGAAGCTTGAAGACAATCGGTCAGGTTCCTGTGCTGAAATTGACCAGCAGCCCACAATTTCCCCAAAAGGAGCTGCTGTAGAAGCTTTGAGGGGTTTCCACCTTCAGCGATCTGCCTGTCTTCCCATGCTGAATGCTCCAAGAGGTCACACCTGTCTGCTGTTGGTGACTTTGCTCCAAGGGAGGGACAGTGGCCCCCGACCCCCCACAGGAGTCTCCACTACACACGTTCTCATGGCCGCACCTGCCCTCCAGACTGGTCTCCTGGACCATCAGCCCAGGGAGCCTGGGGTCGGGGGTCGGAGGGAGCTGCTCAGGCCCCATTGCACTCGCTGCCGTTCCCATTGGGGGTGCGCTCTGGTCCCGTGCTGCCTTCCTCTCCTCAGTATTCTTGTGTCATTTTGAAAGAAAAAAAAGGAGGGCATAATGTTCATCTTTTCTTCAAAGTATTGTTATACGTAAAGGAAGTCAAATAAGATGGCATGATGCGCTAACAGTTTTCTGAAGAAACTATGTTGAAAGTATACAAATAAGTTATTTTAAAAGATTGACTAAGTTCCCAGCAGGCGGTTGAATGTTGAACAAATAAGCATGCAACCTGGCTCTCCCACGAAGATAATTCTTTTCCTTAAAAAAAAAAAAAAAAGGACTCATTACAACAGACAAAGTTGAGCGGGCGTATAAGTGTGGCATTTAAAATTCAACAATGCTCATCTACCACAGGCTGATGCATGTTTAAAAAGATCTACTTCTTAAAAAGATCTATTTAATTAAGAAAAACTAATATCAAAGCAGTTTTTTGCATTTAAAATTCGTGTTTAAACTTCTCCTAGATTAAGTGAGCTTAAACAGTTGCTATTCCCGACTTTAACAGCATTATAAAATACATTAGCGATGGAGAGGATAAAATTCTGCCATGTTAGGTTATAACCTAACTGCTATTTGCAGTTGTAAGAAGTACTAATGGCATAGGGACAAGATTTATTGTCGCAAAGACATCCTGGTTAACATTAGCCTTGTCATTCCATTAATAATGACTGCTTATGAGCCATCTCGTTGGCATCTTTGTTGTCCTGAAAACTTAAAACTCACAGCACAATCCTTTACGACGTGTTACATTGCCCCCTCTGGGTATTCCTGACCATTATCCCATTTGGTTATATTCAAAACTGCTGCCTCCGGAGAGAGCGTTAGGCCGACCTTTCACCTCCCAATATCCTTGGTTCAAATGGCGTAATAACATGTAGTGAATATTTACAAGCACACTTATACTATAATAGAGTACTGCTGTGAACATTAGCACATATTTTCTGCTCAATCAGGCTTTGATGTAGAGCTCGCTGTGCACCCCAGAGAAAATGCAGTCCCCAGTAAGCTGTGCTGGTGAGACACCCTTGAACCCAAACAGCTCACATCACAGAAACTGACTGGATGCAGATGAGCAAGGGGACACATTCGGCTGACACACCAGTTCCTGGGGTGCCTGGCTCGGGGCTGTGGGCGCAGGGGCCCCGGTCCCTGAAACTCTGAATGGATTAGCACCAGGAAAAGGAAATTAAAGGGCATAGGGAAGCGTGGGGGGGGTGTCTTTTTTTTTTATATATAACAATAAAAATAATTTAAATTAGAAGATGTAAAAGCCCCGGGGAAGATCACTGGCTCACCTGGTGCCCCACACTCCCGGAACAGATTGTAAAACCTCCCTGCCCGGCCCCTCCCCAGACACCCACCCCGCCCCTTTCTAGTCCCGCCCACTCTCCCAGCCACGCCCCCGTGAAGCCCCGCCCTCCCGGACAGCCCCGCCCCTTCGGTGAAGCCCCGCCCCCTTTACCTTCCTGTGGCCGCAGCTGCTGGGGTTCAGTCCCTCGGTTTGCTTGCCTGGGCATGTCTTCTCGTCCTCTGTGATTAAGGAGGCCTAGAAGTTTCTCTGCAGAGCCTGCACCGGGACGGGTAAGGGTGGCTCACTTTGTGCTCCCAGCCAGTCTTGTGTGAAAAGAGCCCCCCTGGGTGAGCGGGGTCCTACATCCCTGCACTCAGAAATGTGTACAGAAATGCGTCTACATGTCTGTCTGTCTGCGTATGGTCACCTCTTCTCCTTTTTGCAGAGTTAGCATAAATAAGAGTATCGGATTTTCAGGCGATTTCTACCCCGCAAATTCAAGAGGTCAGAGGCTTCTAATAAGATTCCTATAATTCAAAGGAACCTCGTTGGAAGGTCGGCCATCAGCAGTAATTGCATAGCTGTCACGGGGCTTGTCTGTCATGAGTCCCTGGGAGATTTATGCTTAAAATGACTGGTGCCGCAGGGGGCCCGAGGCCTGGCCTGACACGGTGTCCCACTGATCTGTGAGCAGGGGCAGGTGGGGCGTCTCTCCTCCAGCCCCGCCCTGGATTTAGGCAGACAGACCCGAGCCTAGGGCTCTGGGAGATGGCCTTTTCTGCTCTGTGGGCGAATGTTTGTAGCGTGGGAGGCTTGCTTGGCCTAGATTAATGGGGATTTGTCCGTGTCAGCGGGACAGGGCCTTGACATCCCTGGTCAGCGTCCAGCACTACAGGACGCACACACGCATGTTTGATAAACACCCCACTGATCTGGTTCGTCCATTTGTGTTGTGAGTTACCAGCATGAATGACACTGTAATGGGACACAGGCCTCCCTCCTCTCCTGGGAACTTTTATTTATGGTAGGAGCTTGTTCTAATACAAGTCATTAAACAGATTTAAATTTACCGCAGGTTAAGCCACGTGTCCCCTGGAACACCGCATATAATGAAAGCCTGATATAATATTGTTGGGTCAGCGTGGAGGTGGGGTGAGCCGTCACTACTTAGTGGGAATTAACAAAGCCTTTTGGCACTTCCTATATTTTATGAAACTGCTCTTGTCCTCCTCTGGGTATATGGCAGTGTCTCTCCTTTCTCCTTCTGTACCGTGTCTTTATTTTACTTTTCCTGGGGAATGAGTTTGAACTACCATTTACTCCATGCATTTTATGTGCCACATGCTGCCCTTAGCACTGGACATGATCTATGTGATTCGGTTTCCTCGAGAACTCAGAGAGAGAGAGAGAACTTTTACTGTCTCCCTCTGGTGGTTGGAGAGCCTGATGCTCAGACAAGTTAAGAGACTTTCCTAGGGTCACACAGCGAATAAATGGCAGGGCCCCCAGTTCCCACAAACAGAAGCATCCCCCGCACTTAGCTCTGCAGTCTTCACTGTTGTCAGAGTTACTTTCTACGGTACACAAATGCCTAGGGGTTCTCAGCGGACACAGGGAGATTATAGAAGTCTTGCTTTGGAAGTTTAAGTTTGAATATATGAGTCCTTATGTTTTCTAGTTACTTTGTTGTCAAGACCCTGTCTTGAGCCCTTAAACATTTAATGAGCAACTACCATGGAACCTTCCTGGGCTGCCGCAGTGTAGATGGTCTAGTCCCAGTGGGATGGGGAGGCCACTGACGGAAGAGAGAGTATTTACGTGCAGGAAGGAATTTTTGGAGGTTTTCAGGAGAGGACAATCATCGAACTCCTTCAGTGACGCCCGAGGAAAGTCTGGCCGATGCTTCACGAACAATGAGTCTTTCTCCTGAGCTGCTATTTCATTAGACAATGCCAACAGCTTGCGTGACACTTGCAGCGAAAGGCAGGGTAAGGTCATCTGGGGAGAGAGAGCAAGGGGACGGCTGGATGCGTCCTGAGAAATTCCAGAGTTTAAAGGAGAAAGATGAGGGGGCAGAAGAAGCAGCCACAAGGAAGGAAGGAAAACCAGACGGCGATGGACGAGAGCGTCCTGCAGGAAGGAAGCAGGCTGAACGGTGTCGGGCGCAGGGGGGGCTGCGGAGGAGAAGGATGTGGTGGTGCCTGTTTGCAGGAAGGACTGGGAGGTCCTTGGGGACTGTGCCCAGAGAGGTGGTGCAGGCGCAGAGCTGGGCTGGAGGGCGAGGGAGGCAGCAGACACGGACAGCACACCTGTGGCTTCGGGACGAGGTGGATGTTGAGGTAAAGGCATGATGGGAGGTCTGGAAGGGCGTGTGGGTCCAGGGAGCTTTTGGTTCTTATAGACTCATCAGAGAAGGAATCTAGTAGGAGGTTAGACAGAGGGAGAAGGAATAATTATCAGAAAAGGGTCTCGGGGCGTCTGGGTGGCTCAGTTGGTTGAGCGTCAGGCTCTTGATTTCCACCCAGGTCATGATCTCAGGGTTCACGAGATCGAGCTCCACACCCAGCTCTGCACTGACTGCGTGGATCCTTCTTGGGATTCTCTCTCTCCTTCTCTCTCTGCCCCTCCCCTGCTCACACTCTCTCTCAGAATAAATAAATAAATAAATAAATAAATAAATAAATAAATATTAAAAAAAACCCTTTACTGTGGACACAAATTGAAATTTCATATAACTTTTACATCACAAAATATTCTTTGGAATTTTTCAACTATTTAAAGATGTAAAATATACATACAATGCAGGCGGTGGCTGGGTCTGGCCTGCGCGCAGCACTGGGCCAGACTGCCCCGGCGGCCGGGGGAGGGGTACCGTGGCCTCTGGGTGCCGTCTCTGGCACTAGCCCAATGATGAGTGAAAGCACGGGGAAGGACCTGTTCAAGCCTTTATATTTTCATTTACAGAGTGTCCTCATTGGTAAAATTCCTTTATCTAAAGTTAGTTTCTTCCTGGTCTTCTTCTTGGGGGAGGGTGAGGCATGTCAGTGTAAACCACAATGCAACTTCCTCTGAAGGTCAGGGCTTCCTTTCCAATGTTAACTGGATTCCAAGTAATGAAGTTCAGGTATGTTCCTCAGTAGGAGATGAAACTCTTCTCTCCAGGCCCCCCAGGAGTATAAGTATAAAATAAAATGTTAGTCTTTCTGCCTGGACCATTATGTGCTTATGCAGACCAGCGACTTCGCCTGCTTTGGGTCCCTGAGCAAGGCAGCATGGTGTCTGTGGGGATCACGTGAGGGGGTGAGCTCGGGGACCCCCATCCCTCGGAGTCACATTTCTCCCCAAAGCCAGCTCGCCACACCAGAGTCAGTGGATAAGGGCCCTGCACATCCCTGGTCTCCCCTCTCTCACCTGTGAAGGGAGAGAGCTGTGACTTTTCCCTGCTTCCCTCCTTCCCAGGAAGAGTTAAGTTAGAAAATCCTGGAAAAATAATGAGTAATATTTTATTGAATTTTTACTCTAAGTAGACGCAAAAACTTTTTTTGTTCTAAGTCATCCTTTATTGTTTATCTAAAATTCCGGCACAGCTGGGCACGTGGTGTTTTTGTTTGTTGCATTGTCCCCCCACACCCCTACCCCAAGGATGTGAAAGTAGCTCGTGAACAGGTACGGCCCCTGCACACACACCACCTTCACGGTTCTGTATCTTTCAAAAGACTTTTGTGAGTTTCCAGTCTGTTCTCTTTCTCTTTGGGTTTTCCATTCCCCTGCTCTTAGGCTCTTTGAGGATGCTAGAAGGGAAAACCCACACACCCAAGTACTGGCTGTGTGGAAGAGCCTTCACGTGCAGATGCGTGGAATTCCATCTCACCAATGCGGCCATCCAGGGGGTTCTACCTAAGGTGGGTAGTTTAATCCTCAATTGGGGGATAACATACTGGGTTTCTGAGAGGGTCCTGACCATCTGAGGCCCTTGGGTAGAAGTAGGGGAGACGCCTCGTGGAGGCCAGAGTGGCCCTTCCAGGGCGGTGCTCTCTGGGACCCTCAAGACTGGGAAGCAGGTGACAGCGGCGGGGTCCCCGCCAGGGGTGGGTCTGGCCGTGGAGGAATCAGAGCGAGCTCTGCACAGACCACACACATGGAGGAGAGCCATGATGCTGAGAGCTGCCAGGAAGGCACCTGGAAAGGAAAACAGCGGCGAGTCTGCAAAGCCATGCAGAGGTCGGCAGGAAAGTGGGAGTCACAGCTCTGCGAGCGGGTGATTGTAAGAACAGACAAAGGGGTCAGAGAAAGCTTCCCCGCGCACCCTGAAACCAGAGCTGAGGTCCACCCCTTCTGCAACTGACCCCGACCCTTCACTCTGCCCGAGAACCTTGGGCCAGTGACATGTAAAGACTCTGGCTAAAGTCGTCCACAGCCAAGAGATGGTGGGAGGTCACATCTGGGTTCAGCAAAGCAGAGGCAGCTGGAATGTGATATGGGCTTGGGTAAATGTCTCTCCTTCCTGGCTCGTGTGATCCCCCGGAGAAGTTTTTGGACACAGATCATTATTGATATATTGGAGGTATCTTCAGCTGTATCAGGAGGGGGGCGCGGGGACCCGGATGCCAATGGCTGATGTGTCTGCATGAGCCATCTTGGTGATTGATGCCCGGTCCGGCTGCCAAGGCGGATGCGTGGCCGTGCTCATTCATCTCAGCCTAAATGTGAGTGTATATCGACGTAACCATTAAATGACTCAGGTTTCAGAGACACAAGATCAGATTAGATAAGCCCCTAAATTTCTTCTTTTAAAATATGCAGAGAAGAAGGAGTTCAAAATACCAAGCGCTGATGAGGACTGAGGGTCCAGGAGGAATTCACAAACATCTCAGAATTCAGAATTAATGCTTTACACTTTAGGCTTCTTTGGCAATCAATACGTGCACAAAACTCCCATTAATGTTCATAGGGGTTAAAACACGCATATCAACCGCAGACCATTTATTTCCGAGTCTGATGCGGGCTCTCTTCTGCGGAAGACAGGCAGGGCACGGACCAAGGGCCGCCTGCCATGGCATTTTACACCATTAAGGGCACAGGCGATTTAATTGCAGATTTCTTCACACTGACCACATTTTTATCCCAGGCCGACCTCCCCCAAATCCGTCTATTTTTCCAGCTGACAGCTCTCGAGGTTTGGAACTTCCTACACTCTCCCTGACCCCTGACAAGTTCAGGTGGCTATCCCCCCCCCCCCCCCCGCCCCTTCCCACCTCTGTGTGAGCCTGCGGTTCTGATATGAAATCCTCCGGAAGGAGGGGCCGAGAACAATGAGTCACCCTCTTCCAGTTCCAGGACCACTGACACACAGCCTATAATTTATCATAAAAGGTTACCGGGTTTAGCTAGCCCACTCTATTATTAATCAGATCGTTTTGGCAGGTTGGATTTCGTTACCTATAAATATTCATTACGTTTGGACTGCTTTATAAACAGTAACATTTCCTTCTGTTTTTAGAGAAAAATTTGTATCATCTTGCCTACTTGTCATGCCTGGCTGTGGCATAAAGCAAGTTGATGTCTTTTCAAAACCCTGGGCCCCATTCTCCATGGCAAGCTGTGTCTTATGAGATACCCACGTGGGCCCACAGATAGTCTCTCCAGAGGGGCTGCCGTTTTCTTTATGGAAATACGTTCTTTTTAAAAAATGGTTATTTTTGGGGCGCCTGGGTGGCTCAGTCGGTTGAGGGTCCGACTTTGGCTCAGGTCATGATCTCACGGTTCGTGGGTTCGAGCCCTGCGTCGGGCTCTGTGCTGAATGCTTGCTTGGAGCCTGGACCCTGCTTCGGATTCTGTGTCTCCTTCTCTTTCTGCCCCTCCCCCACTCATGCTCTGTCTCACTCTGTCTCTCAAAAATAAATAAATGTAAAAATTTTTAAAATTAAAAAAAATAAATAAAATACATTTAAAAAAATAAATAAATAACGGTTATTTTTGAGAGCAAGAGAGAGACAGGGCATGAGTGGGGGAGGCGCAGAGAGAGAAAGAGTGAGACACAGAATCCGAAGCAGCTCCAGGCTCGGCGCTGTCAGCACAGAGCCTGATGAGGGGCTCAAACCCACAAACTGCAAGATCATGCCTGAGCTGAAGTCGGCCGTTTAACTGACTGAGCCACCCCTGAAAATGCGTTTTTTAAAATTAGGGAATATTTCAAGCATTCTGAGAAAATAGGGAATAGTAGACAAATACCCACATACCAACCATCTTTATCAAATCTTAATGTGATAGATGAAATGGAGGACCCCAGTGCCTCTCTGTGAGGCCAACCCCTCCCTCCATGCTAAAGCGACCTCTAATGTGAATTTATCATTCCTCTGTACATTTTTACACGTTTATAACATATTTATGTATCAATAAATGTTACCTATGATAATGGTTTACAGATTGAAAGAGTATATACACGGTACTATATGGTCTATATCCTTTTTTTTCTCCACTCAACATATTTTTGAGGTTGCCTATGTAACTCTAGTACATTTATTTTATCTGCCTTATACTCTCACACTGTAGGAATGAACACAATTTATCCATTCTCCTATTGAGGGCTATTAGCTTGTTTCCCACTGATCCTTGTGAGCAATAACATGGTCTTACACATTCTGGTACACGTGTCATTCAGACTCTTGTACACGTGAGCAAGAGTCTCTACCAAGAAGTCATGTTGCTAAGTTATAGGATACAAGTGTTTTCAACTTTGTTAGATATTTCCAGATTATTTTACAAAGTTAGAAACCACTGAGCATTCCTAGTAGTGGGTATAAAGTTTCCCTTTTTCTCTTCATTTTTTAAAAACTTATTTTTATTTTTTTTACAAATAGTTTATTGTCAAGTTGGTTTCCATATAACACCCGGTGCTCATCCCCACAAGTGCCCTCCTCCATGCCCGTCACCCCCCTTCCCCCCTCCACCTATCAGTCCTCAGTGTGTTCTCGGCATTCAAGAGTCTCTCATGGTTTGCCTCCCTCCCTCTCCCCCACCATTTCCCCCCTTCTTCTCCCCCATGGTCCTCCGTTCAGTTCCTCCCAATCCTCCTATATGTGCAAATATATGTCTACGCACCGAATATGGGAGCACCTAAATATCTAAAACAATTAATCACAAACAGGAACAAGGTTATAGATAAGAATGTGCTAATAGCAGGGGACTTTAATTTTCCCTTCATTTTTGACCAACAGTTGTAATCCCCAAATTTTAGTATGTTTGCCCATTTGGTGGGTGTGAATTGGTAGCTCATTGTTGTAGTTTGCCCTGAGGCCACAACAAATATAAATATAGGCTCTTGTTCTGTCTATATTTG